GGCAGCTGGTTGTTGACCAGGAACTCAGTTCTGAAGGCAGAGCTACTGCCAGCAGTTGCACAGAAGGAAGGATGGCCTGGTATGGTATTTCCAGCCTTCTGTGCTGCTGATTGCAGATGTGGGCATTTAGTCAGCAGCCACCGCTCTCTGGCCACCCTGCTCTGAAAGTAACAGTACGGAAGTAAGGGCAAAATGGGTATGGTGTTATCACCCTTACTTCTGTGCTGCTGCTGCTGCTGCTGCTGAGGCGCTGTCTTCAGAGCTGAGTACCCAGCCAATATTACAACCAACACTCGTCCAGTTGCCCAGCTCTGAAGGCAGCAGTGTAGAAGTAAATGTGGCAGTACTGTGATCTTACTAAAATAATCTTGTGATTCCCTCTGCAACTGTCTTTTGAGTCAGGGCCTCCAATTTGAGAAACTTTTGTCTCTTCGATGAAATCTGTATCGTATAGAGTAAAAGCACACAAAAGGCCAGATTTCACAGAAGGATATCAGATTTCACTGTCGGTGATGGGTTTTGCATGGCTGTGAACTTCATAGGGCCCTACTCATGACATGAAGATGAGGTTCTTAAAAGATTTGGTTTGTCCTTCCTTGAGACCTAAATGTGGTGTTAAGGCTCACATGCTCCCCCAACAAGCTTCTTCTTTCTTGTTCTCTGCTATCTCTTCATGGAAGGTCTTTTTCCTGTTGGCAGTCACATCAGCCTGGAATGTCTACAAAATTAGAACTTTTATGTCTGAATCCCATTGTGCAGTATATTACAAGGGTGGGCAATAATTTTTTCAGGGGGATCACTTAACAGATTTTGGTAGTGATCATGGCATGGCTCTGCCCTCCTCCCAGAAAAGGTGGGGCATCAGATGGAAGGGTTGGGGCATCCGGTGGAAGGGGCAGTTTCCCTCTAGGCAACATGAATCCCTGGTGGGAGGAAACTTCGCACTGTTAAACTGTTTTTGATGGATGTTTGTTAACTTCAGTTGGGTTTTTTTGGTTTTTGTTTTGCTATGCTAAGCTGGTTTTAATTACAAATATTGTGTTTTAAATGATATTGCTTGTTTTTTTTTAGAACTGTTGATTTGCCCACTGCTTACATTATGCTTGGGATATACAGCAATTTTTAGCATTTGTATGTCTTTTTTGGCTTTTTTTAGAACATTTGGTTCAGTGGCCTTTGCACTTTTTATACATTTTTTTTACTTTTTTACACGTAACAAGGTTGATTTCTTTGTTATAGAGAAGCAATATGCACATTTGAACAAGGACATCTAATTACAATTTAAAACCCCCATTTATTCTACTCTTTTACTTATTTTACAATACTAATTTTAAAATTTAAAATGGTAAGATTTTATCCCTGCCTTTGAATTAGCTTTAAACACAAAATTCTGGCTGGTGCACCTTTACCAATGGTAAGGTAAAGGTCCTTTCTGCTTTCAGAAAGGGTATCTGGCAAAGTACCCTGAGGTACATTACTTTGCATAAAGCTACATTTTAGCTACATGGTTACATGGCAGTCTCTCTCTGCCACTGCCCTGTCAGGTATGCACGACACCTAGAGGGAGCCACAAGCCGCTTTGAACAGCAAATGACTTCATGCAGTGTCCGACCCCGGGTCTTGATTCATCCAGTCCATGGCCCACCCTGTTGCTTCCCCCACCCTCCAGGCCAAAAAGCTTAGTGGACTGGATCTGGCCCGAGGGCCATATCTTGCCCACCTCTGGTGTATTACAAGGGCAAGGGAAAGGTTCAGCTGTGCCTTCCCCCTAGCTTTCTTACCTAAGGTGGTTTCACAGTTCCACAGTAATCAGAGTATTTTCTTACTGTATTTCTTTCTGAAGTCTCGCATGATGAACAAGCATGTTAGGTGGGCCTCTATCTTCTACACTGAGAGGACAAAACCTTTCCTGTGGTGGCAGACAGTATGAAAGTTCTGCCAGTTACCCCTCAGAGAATCTTCTCTTGGATATCCGCCTGCATAAAGTTCTGGTATGAACAAATGGGAGCTGCTATCCTGACTGCTCTTTCTACCAGTGCAAGTTTTTAGAGGTCTTCCTTGCTTAGGTACCCATCCATGATACCTTTATAGCCACTATCTGCTCTCCAGTTCATACGTTCTTGTCACATAATGCCATCACCCAGCAGGTCTGGGATGTCTCCAGCTTTGGCAGAGCAGTATTGCAAGCAGCTCAGCCATGAACTGTGAGTCTACCTTTGAGTCTGTGCGCCACCTAATATGGTATCCATGTGAGCAAGTACTCGAAGAAATACAAAAGGTTACTTGCCTTTCATAACTGTTGTTCTCTGAGATGTGTTGCTCATGTCCCTTCCATGACCTGCCCTCCTCCTCTGTTGTTGGAGTTGATGCTGGAAGGAACTGTGAAGGCACAGCATTGGTGCATTAGTGTGGGACTCCAGGGGAAGCCAGAGCCAACACTACAGATACCATTAAGGGAAATATTGCTGGCAACCGGGCACATGGCTGCATATATACTTAACATGGAATGGACATGAGCAGCACATCTCAACAAACTAGAGTTATGACAGGTAGGTAACCATTTTTTATAGTTAAAAACTCAAGGAGCTTTGTTTAGTTTAATAAAGACTTAAGAGGTGGCTTGATTAGTTTATAATTAGCTACTTGTGGAACAGAAGTTTGATACTACAGGGCCCTTGAATCTAGCAGACAAAGGTACGCAAATGGCTGCAGGGTGAAGTCAGACATGTTTAGATTAGAAATAGGGCACACATTTTTAACAGTGAAGTTAATTAGCAAGGGTTGTGTTGGGTTTCTCATTACAGGATTTTTTTTAAAAGATACATTCTTGTGCAAACAGGAGTTAGTTTAGGCAAGTCTTATTGCCTGTGTTACACAGGATGCCAGACAAAAGAATCAAAATGTTCTCTTCTGGCCATATCATCTATAAGCTATATTTTCCCCCTGAAATAGATGAAAAAATGAAATATCTTTACATTAGTATTCCCATTCTTTTTTCCATTCACTTTGAACTGATATTTTGTTACTGATATTTTGAAGGTTTCTTCTACTTCAAGATACTATAAATGTCAGTTTGTTACAGCTGTTGCCTTTTCTGTTTCTTATTAGCTCTGTTTTGGCTAACTAAGAGAATGATTTTCAGTGAAAACCTTGTAGTCAATTATTTTCATCATGTTTTCTACATGTTGTACTTCAAAGTAGAACTCCATGTTTCCCACCAATTAAGTGTGTTTTGTTCATACCATAGAATCCCAAATACTGTGCAGATTTTTGCTAGAGTGATGGCCATACTTGAAACTCTGGAATATTTGAGGGTGTAAAGTGCAGCAGCTATTCTGTGGTAGCAATGCCTTAAAACAGGTTTTTAGACAAAATTGAGAATAGTATGTTCTTCTTTCTCTTTGATAGGAAAAGTTATACTTTCTTATCTGGTTGTGAGTAGTCAGTTCCTTTTTTTTAACTTTTGGATACCATTGTTTAAACAGAGTGTAATAGGACTGTTTCTGTACCTTGATATGAGAATTCTAGAGAACACTCATGTACTATAAGAAATGCTGTGAGTAGTTTGATAGGTTGAGCAGGTCTTCCATTTAGCTTTTTATTGAACTCTGGGTCTGGTCTGGTGCTAAGGGTGCATGTACTAATAGAATGCCTTTTTTTAGATGAGATATTAAAAGGAGAACCCAGTCAATTGTGGTAATTAAAATGCATTGTTACCTATATATTGAACAAAAACATTAATCGGAGTATTGACACAGAATTATATATTGTATATGTCTGAATTCTGTAATTTCAACTTGGATATGGTAATTGAAAGCAGTGCTGAAGTAAAATCACAGTATCATAAAGTTGAATGCCTAGTGAGCCCCTTTCTGTTCTCTGTAGCAGAAGTGGGCAAGGTTTCATGGGATACTAAATAGTCGGAGGTTCACATCAACAGCTTACATTGGTATAGTTCCAGTGAAGTTAATGAAGCGATGTCTGTTTATTCCACTTGAGGTTCTGGCCCTACATAAAGAAGGACCTCATTCTGCTCTAGCTCAGTGGTTTGAGCATTGGCCTGCTAAACACAGGGTTGAGAGTCCAATCTTTGAGGAGGCTATTTAGGGATCTGGGGCAAATCTGTCAGGGATGGTACTTGGTCCTGCTGTGAGGGCAGGGGACTGGACTCGATGATCTCTCAAGGTCCCTTCTAGTTCTATGAGATAGGTATATCTCCATATTATTATAATATTATCTATGAGATAGGTATATCTCCGAGAGCATCAGCCACGTAATGGATTTCAATACAAAGAAAAATCTGCCAGGGCAGTAGAAACCACATACAGGAAAGGGAAGAAGAGAGGACATTGGGAGTATGTCTGTCAAAAAACAAACACCAAACAAAAAACAAAACGGAATTTGAGTGATAGCTCAAGTGGGGGTTAGTGGATTTCAATAGAGACATAGACTTGGATGTGATGCAAAAATGTGACTACAATACATCACTAATACACCTTTGATCCCTTGCACATATGGGTTAAAGACATGGTTATACTATAAGGGTACGTCTAAACTAGCCCACAAGATGGATCTAGGGAGGCTAATGAGGGCGACTTGAATTGCAAATCAAGCCCGGGATTTAAATAACCCACCTTGATTTGCATGTTCCTGGCCAGTTGCCATTTTAGAAATTGACTAGCCCGAAGTAACTGCCTGCGTCTATGCGCGGCAGTTAAACGGGATTCCTATTTAAAGCCCCTAAATCAAATTAGCGGGTATTCCTCCTGCAGTGAGGTTTGATTTGCAATTCCGGTCGCCCTCATTAACCTCCCTAGATCGATCTAGGGGGCTAGTATAGACGTACCCATATAATATATTTAAAGGATCAGAGTGTATTCAGGCAAATGTACAAAAATATTATCTTTCTAATGTCGCTAAATAATGATGTGTTTTTTCCAACAGTCCTTTTTGATCATGAAGTAGCAGATATGTTATTTTCTCCTTTTCCTTTCTTCTAGTCTTGGCTGCTTATGGTACAGCAGACAGAACAGCTTAGCAGGATAATGAAAACACATGCAGAAGACCTTAATTCTGGACCACTACATAGACTTACAATGATGATCAAAGACAAACAACAAGTAAAAAAGAGTTACATAGGTGTTCATCAGCAAATTGAGGCAGAGATGTTCAAGGTACCTTATTTAACCATGCTTTATTTATTGTTGTGAAGTTTACTAAGTTACTAAAGCTTCATCATTTTCCAAAATTATTACATGTGAGAATATTCATGTGAATAATGCAGGTGTCACCATTCTGCTTTATTTTTCAGTACTAATACTAATGTATTATAATTGGATTACATTTGCTACTTGTTTAAGCCTGTTCCGCCATGTTTTTTACCAGTTATTAGCTGAAATGACAGAGGTGGGAAACTCCTGAAAGTGAATTTAGTTAGGCTAACCGCTCTGGAAATTTTCTCCTTTCACTAGAGCGTGACTCTGTGTGAATCCCTGCTCCTCT